ATTGGCTGTGTCCACGGGAGGAGGTGAGTTCCGAGTCTGCTTACGCCGCCATCTTGACTCGAGATCCTCCTTGACCTTTTAAGATGAAGAATTCTATAGCTACTGTTTTCAGAAGAGTGGATAGTCAATTTCTTTTTCGAGCCTCCTCTTACAGTTTACATTAAAATAGCAATGGTTCATGCTGATGTCAATTTGGTACAATGTAATTTATCTTGATGCTAAGAGTTTTGCTGCGGGGTGCCAGCAAAAGTTAAAAGTCATGATTTTAGACTCTCATAGCCATGTCATGTGTTGTAGGGTTTGGATCAGAACAATCAGAGGGGAGAGGTGATATGAGTGGGAATTTGGTGTGGACAGAGAGGAGCCATTTTTGCCCATCAGCCTTTCAGAGGGGCTCTGCCTTCTAAACCCATGTGCTTCTGGTATTTGACGTTCGTGTGTGTGTGTGAATGTGGGTGAGAGAGAGAGAGAGAGACAGAGAGACAGAGATTTTGGGGTGGGGTGAGGAGAGCTTATGGCTTTATAATGTGTTTCTGCAAATAGTATTAGGGGCATAGTGAGCCTTTATGTACAGGAGTTTAAGAGAGGGGAAGGAAAGCAGAATGATCTTAAGTAATGAATTTTGCCGTTAAAAGAGGTAACACCGTTCCATAGCATGTCAAGTGAAGCTACCTCTAACAAGGACCCGTAAGCTGAATTTGTAATATAATTCAACACAAAGTCTCCAGATTTAAAAAAAATATGTTATCCTGATGGGGAAGGGAAGTATACTTATTAAGAATCAGTGTTTTTATTTTAAGGTTCCCTCTAAACCTAAGCGTTTGCTCCAGAACAAGACAGAGAAGAAAAAGTATGAAAGACTAAGAGCTAATTCATTTTGGGAATGAATTTAGGATCTTACAATTTGAGGTTTTTCTATTTATTATTCTTCCTTCAAGAAAACTACTGCTACTGCCTTTATTGTAAATTTCCGTAGAACCTAAGGTTTATTGCCCTTCAGTCTCTCTCCGAAACACATGACAATAAACTCTTGTAAGAGGAAAAAGCTATCACCTTGATGGCATAATTTAAATTTTTAACAAGTTGTTTATTTCAATATAACCTGCTGATTTGAAGGTCAGTCCTGGAGTAAATGTGGAACATGCCTGGGAAAAAAGCTCCTGCTCCCAGATCCTTTTTCTGTCCTATCTTGATATTTTCAGTTACTTTTGGTCTGCTCCTTAAAAGTGAATTAAAATTCTCTCCCAAGACTTCACATATTGAGCTACTCTGAGAATGAATGATGTCATGTTTCAAGGAATTATTTGTTTCAAATCAGTTTTCCAAACTCTATAACCGTTATGAATACCTTCTCATTCTTGATTCTTCACCTGGGTACCAAAAATGATTTCGCAATTTATACTTATCTATCTAGGGTAGCATAATCATATATGTGTTTTTAGCATGAGAGAGAAAAAAATCAAGGGAAGAAGATTCTGTCTCACTCAGCCAGTCCTTTCTGGTGTTAATGTACCTCAAAGCCAGACCTTAACCTACTCATAAAATTTCTTATTCTACCTGTTATTAAAACTGGAAATTGGTCAGTATTCTAGACTCGTGGTTAGCCCATCTCAAACTCAAGGTCTGCTTATTGTAATGATTTGGCCTTCTCTTCACAAAATAATTTGATATTTTATGTGTATTAGGATTTCTTCCAAATTCTTTCTCTTTAGTCATCTGTTTTTGACCAAAGGTATATTCATTCTCCAAAAGGTGATAGCTATAAAGTTTGGCCCAAGTTTTCAAGGACAATTCCTCCCGCAATAACACTTACTTCTAAAGCTTCTGCACAACATGCAATTGTGTTGCCCCCCCCCAGTGCCATCATTCATGGGTCAGAAAATGTGGCTATGAAAATTGTATGTGCTTCACTCCTGTTTTTCCCTTTGTTTTCATTGTTCTTGTTAGAAACAGAACTGGACTTTAAAAAGGATTTAATACATGACACTTAATGACAGTAAAATATGAAATTGTATCCTTTTTGGGGTCTGCATCTTGGGGGTCATGTCTCTTTCCTGTTTTTAATGTGGCAGGCTAATTTGTTGTTTTGTTCTTTTATTCCACAAGTCCAGCAAATGTGTATTCTTAAGCTTAAGCAACTCAGTCTTTGTGAATCATATAGTAACTGTGAATGTTACTATTACTATAATTTCTTTTTGTGTATGCTATATTGGTTTAAGACTAGAGTTTACCCATACCTCATAATCTAAAGCCAGTAGAGAACAAATCAACATGGCTACAGTAAGTATAAATATAAATTCCCATATGATTTATTGTTGTTCCTTGTACATAAGAAACAGTAATATACAACTTACACTGCTTTAGAATGTAAAATGGATAAAAATGTGTACAAAAAAAGCACATTCCTAGAAAAAGGTATTGGCAAATAGTAAAAACTAGGGGGCAGCGGGGGGTAACAAGCAAAAAACAAATCAAAAACAAAAAAGAAACCAACAATTCTTCAATTCAGTGTGCAAACATTTTATAAAAATAGAAATACTAACTCTACAGGCAGTATTTCCTGATAAATTATTTAAATAGCATATCTACACAATCTGAGATATCTATTCCAATGGCAATGAGAAAATAATTTATAAAAATAAAGCAATGGCATACAAGATGATAGAAAAAACATAACTTTCAGAAAATGTATTGAACATTTCAATGCTATTTCCTTATTGGGAATACTTTTCTGCAAAGAATTTTATACTATGTACAACATTGACTTTTTTAGGTACTACAGTAGCTAGTTTGTTAGACACTTAAACTCCTTCTGTTTGATCCAAAAATTCTTTACTCAGTCACACAACAAATGAGGTAATATTTGTATATAAGTTTCACCTTTGTCCTTTTTTTCTCGTTTGGAAAAATGAAAAAAAAAATATAAGCGTAGATGCTTTTCTTCTTCCTGGAAATAGGCACAAGGGATGGGGTAAAACAGTATCGAAGACCTCCTGGCTTTCTTTGCAATCTAACAACACTTGCAAATGGACAACCAACTAATTCCACTTGAAAAGACAAAACAAACAAGGGGAGAAGAAAAAAAGAATCCCAAATCATTCATTCTACGCACAGAGTGAAGAGCAGCTGACTGTGCTGTTCTCCTTGTACAGCTCCTGTGAGAGCCTTCCTCGTAAATCTCGACTACCTGCTCTCAGATACTTTCCATACCAAACCTAGATTCCAGGTAGAACAGAGTTAATAAATAATCTGTATTTACAATCTTACAGTCATGAAGACTCATAACAAAGATGACACGGATAATCCTCATGCTTCTTCCTGTTCCATGAATAGTCTTTCAGACAGATCCTCCAGAATAGGTAAAAAATAAATATTTTACATTGTAAAGCATTTGTAAAACAAAAACTTACAGTCCAAAAGAGAACTGGAAATCTATGATATTCAGGAGAAAAAGAGAGAAGAGGAATGTTTTAGTTAAGTTGATAATATTTTTGTGCCTTTCTAACCATAAAAATACAAGCCCGGCTGCCCCTCCCTTGGGAGGCAGCCCGGTGCTCACTGAGATGGTAGGTTTTCTTATTTTCCTGCTACATCTGCACGAGCTACATCTGGAAGAAAACCAACAGTTTCAATGTAACCAGGCAGAAGCAGCCAGCACTGCCTTACACTGGTTTACTTCTGACTCCCTCCTCGGTCACTAAAGGTGATGTGTAAGGGGTGGGGATCCGAGAGGAAGTCCAGAAGCCAATCTTGCCCTCCCTTCCCTGCTTCTATTTAAGTGCCTATTTATGTGGGTTAGTCAGCTAACACCGGTCAGCATCATGAAATCCAGCCATAGTCTTTCGATCCCCTGAAAATGATTTAGTACCAAACATGTAACAGTTCCTCCATATTTTCTTCATACAATCATCTCTTGGATACGCGCCCACCCCTCAGGGTTTGGCCCATGTTCCCCCTAGTCCTGAGGGAGTGTGTCGGGGTGGTTTGGTTTGCTAATTCTAGTGAGTCCTCCCTTCTCTCACATGCCTGAAAACGCTTTTGAGTCCACTGCTCAGAAGGGCCTCATAAGAGCACCCTGCACCGTGACAAAAGCCCAGTGGAGCGGGCACCTTCCCACTGAAGCAAGTGGATGCTTTTGCTTTTTCAAAAGCACAAAGTTTATATTTTTGTAAGAGTCTCTTCTCATTCAGAGGCTGAATGCTGAGTCTGATTTGGGAAATTGCATTTTCTTGAGGCAAGTCACATGTTCTAGGAGTCCACACTGATGCAAGCAGAGAAAAAAGGAAGGCAGGGAGGAGAGATCCTGGGGGTTTTCTTAAGCCCATGGTTCCAGAAGGTGCAATACCAGCATCGGTTATGATCAGTCTTTTGATCAACAGTTGGATGATTATGAATCTGTTAAATAAACAAACAAAAATATATAAACAAAAACGAATTCAAAGGCATTGTCATCTTAATATCAGTTAATAAATTAACAGCATAATTTAAGATTGAACAAATTAACGTTTAATTTTATAAGCTGACATTAGGCTAGGCGATTGATATCGCATGACCTTCTAGAACTTAGGCTATGCTTTCTAAGGCACTCAATGTTTAGGGAGTTTTATTTCAATTCAGACTCAAAGATTACATTATAATTTAAGTTTTGTTGAGTAAAACCAACCATCTTTTTTTTACTCTGACTGATCTTGTAGGCATCAGGCCTTGACCCAGGAAACATTTATTAAGCACTTATTTTGTGGTAGGCCCAATGCTGGACTCAGTGAGAGCTTAAGTAACCACTGAGTGAAAAAGAATGGAGGAAAAAAGCTAAGGTTAGTACTGAAAATTAATTTAACACGCCATATGAAGGCAGTACTCCTTTCCCCTCCTTGCATGTGGGGAAAGGCTGTGAAAGACAACTTATGCTATAATGGCATGACTGAAACTATAAGCAGTGTGAAAGACAGAAACATGTACAATTTTAAAGAATTAATGTGGTCTCAACTGTACAGGAGCTTGTCTGCCATTTCTTTGCACAGTCTATGAAGAGCATGGAGATTGCTAAGCAAACTAATACTGTTAACAAGGACTCAGGATTTCATAAGCCACAGTTCATAGGCATCATTTCATTTTCATTATTGTATCAACAGCAAAATATAAATAACCCTATATCTAAAATAGTCTTTAAATTGTTCTCCCATAATTGGCATTCTTGATAGTAGTCTGAATTAGAGATATCAACTGTACATTCACTGTAATGTGGCTCCTACCTCTGCATTCATATTTCAGGTCGGAGAAGAACACCATTTCTTGAGAGAAGACAAACAACCCTAGCCTGCCACCAGCATAGGTTTTGTCATAGATGGGTCCTGAGTCAGCCATGATTTTCTTCCCTTCATACATCACCACTCTGCAGGAAAAAGAAACTCGCATTAGTGACACCCATACTTTTTGGGCTCCTCCTTCTTGCCCATCAGGGTGACTATAAGTGAAATTGAATCCTTGCAATCTTACCTAATGAAACCTGTCTTTGGCCTGTGGCTGAGACGCCATCTGTAGGCGGTGAAGTCTTTCCAGCCTATGTGACGAGGGTCATGCCACAGGGTGCGCACCTGAAGGAAAAGGAAAAGAGGAGGTTGAAACACAGCTCCGTCGTGAGAAGGTTTCTATTTCATTCCGTAAGATACAGTGCTTTAGAGGTATCAAGTTGACCTAAATTAGAGGGCTTTGATGTAGGATTTTTTCCAAGGCCTCTTTCATTTGATGTGTCCTTGAATGTAGACAAAATGGAAGGGAATGAAACAAAGAGGGAAGGGAAGCAGCTTTTTTGTTTGAAGAGGCTGAAACTGCCTTTAGATTTGAAGGGTAACTCTTGGTGAAGGCGAGCTCCCCTCTCACACACTATTATGTTTTTACAAAGCACAGCTTAATGCTGCAATTGGTGATGTTGAACTTGATGTCTAAGATTTCCTGTTGGGAGTCTTGGCCAAAGCACAGCATCCCTAGTACGAGTCAAGCACCCATCCATTCTCTCCCTTCTGCAGGGCGTTCTTACCTGGCCAGGGGTGTTTCCTGTGTGCCACAGGGCATTCCGCAGGTGCTCGCCAGGCCCCGTGGTGGAGTTCACGACTTTCACAGAAAGGCCTGAGTATCCCTGAGCCCTTGTAGGGTTGGTGTCCCAGTAGGACTGGGTGACTTGCTTCCACATCACAACATAGAAGCGGCTGCTGGACTGGTAGCCAAACACAAACCCAGCGTAGTCATCGTCCCTCTCGGTGTTGATGAAGAAGGTGCCACTGAAGTCCACAGCATTAAACTCATCATAACCTGGAAGATGAGGCCAGACCCAGGTTAAAACCTGTAGCCTTCAGAATGTCCTCTGTTACATTCCCAGACATCCTTAGTGCCCACAGGGACACATGCAACTGTAGGTTTTCTATTTGTTTCTTTCCCATGTATGCGTTAGCCTTTTGTTTGAAGAACCCATTACTCACCTATAGCAAGTCCAGGATCACAGTTGACAGTTTGGACGAGTTCTTTACCCTGATGGCGTACAACCCAGTTAGGATCATTTTGGGATGTCCCTTTGGGATCTAGAGGAATCATCTGGAATCGGCGGAAATCGGTTTCACTGATATCAACGTTTTCAGGACAGATATCATCAACATCTGGCACATTGTCATGGTCAAAATCATCTTTGCAAGCATCACCTCGACCATCACCTAAGGTCAAAAAGGCAAGACTTCAGTGAAATTCTGAAAGGCTATTACTACTGGTGTCAGAAATTCACTATCTTGTCCAAGTTGGCATTTAGTCTCTTCATCCTTTCAAATGCATTTAGCTTTGTTTTTATTTCCTCAATCCAGACAGCCACGGTTTCAGTTACTCTCTTAAAAAGTGGCTCCAATGACTTACCATCAGAGTCCTTCTGGTCGGGATTGGGCACGAGTCTGCAGTTATCCCTGTCATCAGGAATGCCATCATTGTCATCATCGTGGTCGCAGGCATCTCCCTTGCCATCTTTGTCATGGTCAGCTTGGTTGGCATTGGGCACATAGGGACAGTTGTCCAGGTTGTTCTGGTGGCCATCTTCGTCAATATCCTGATTGTTGTCACAGGTATCTCCAATGCGGTCTGAGTCTGAGTCGAGCTGAAAGAGAGAAATAGAGGGTAAATTGAAGTATAAATCAATGTTAAAGATAACTTATGGAAGATTCTCTAATGTTTGATATGGCCAGTGGGGTTTCATGTCTACGTACTACTGCGGGAAGATAATATCGACAAATTTTAAAAGTTTTTTCTTGATCCTTGTTTTCATAAAGGGATTTTAAGAGATTTTTTTTTAAATATAAAATTTTAAATAACATTAAGTAGAAAGCATAATTTAATCACTAAGGACAGAATGCAATATCTGCTTATATCTTAATGTTAAATGAAATTCTTTGGGTACATTTTGTTATTTTCTATTGAAGGTTTCAATCGTAAAATTGTTGACATGTCAACTTCTACTCTTAGGTCATGAACTCATGGAAATATACTGTTTTTTGTGCATACTGGGTAATGTGTATAGTCGTGATTGATTGTTTTCTTCTTTTTTAGGTATTTGGTTTTATACATCTAGTCCATAAGGATTGTCACCTGTTGGCTCAGGTCAAGTCAAAATTCTAAACTTTTTCAAAACTATATTTCTTAGAGTATTTTTACATTACTCAGTGTGCGTGGGATGCTTAGGAATTGTCTATACACAAAGTGGAATTTTTCTTGCCAGTATTTATGCTCTTTACTAGTATGATTTTCACATAATGACTGAATTTTGTTATAAATTTTATTACAATCTGAGGAACCAGAAACTCATCCAGGGAGATTAAATGATACTTAAGTTGTATTTATAGTAAGGTCCAGACTCAAAATAGAGGACCCTCAATGCCTTTGATCAGCACAGCTCTCCCACATCATTCACACTTTCTTGTTAAGGCCCCAAAGCTATTCGTCCTGGTGCTTTTGTTTTTACAGGACCTCATAACAGCAAATATCAGGAGGAAAAGCTGGATTTCTAATTTCTTGAATCTTATCAAAGTATTTTTAAACAGCTGGTTTCTAAGCTTCCAGAACAATGCATTTTAGGGAAAAAAAAAGCAAAAGCCTTAACTTTTATCCCTAGAAAATAATGATGGGCAATTACACAAGAAAGGAAATACTTCCAGACATGGAAGCTGTTCTGGCTAATGTCTACTTGTAGCACTGCCTAGCACAGGCAGAGAGTGATGTGTTTGCAATGCCATACACTTTTGAAGAATGACCAACAGGGATTTCTCCAGTTTTTGAAAGTATTTTTAGTTTGATGATTTTCTTACAGCCAGATTGTATCATTAGCCATGAAAATGGCTGTTTATTTTGCTTAAGGATTTTTTTTCTTCTAACCCTTAGTCTTAAATATGATTAATATCACTGTAGAGTTGTTAGTCACAGATTTCTGCTTTGTATAATTTATCTTAGTAATGGTAGCTCACACTGAGCAAGTCACGTAGACCTGCTTGTAGAAGACAAGATTGAAGCTACAAGATTGTCACGCTGAAGATCCCTATGGGACTCTGCAAGGAGCTCATATCAGGCAAACTGTTCACATGAAAATATTGCAGTTGGCTATGAGACCACTTCCATTCCATGGTAATGGAAGTGTTTGAATTCTATTTAACTCCTTTATTTTCTCGAGGGATATTCCAACACTTTACTGAAAGATTCTGAAAGGAGTCCACCTACCTGATCTGGATTGTGTTCCAGGGGGCAGTTGTCACACTGATCTCCAACCCCATCCATATCTGTGTCCCTCTGGTCCACGTTGTAGACATACTGGCAGTTGTCTCGCTCATTGAGGATACCTGCAGAGACAAGGGACAAATAAGAGCTAGAGTCTTCAGCCTCGGATGTGTCAACCAAACCACACACTAACAGCCAAGGCTGGAGAGAAGCAGGTTGAAAGCTGGGCAAGGTCACCATGGCCTAGGGCCTGCTGGAGTCAGGGAGCGCCTTACCATCCCCATCAATGTCTGCAGCGCAGGCGTCTCCTTCCCCGTTGTTGTCTGTGTCAGCCTGATCTGGGTTGTGGTTGTAGGGACAGTTGTCACAGCGGTCTCCCACATCATCTCTGTCATAGTCATACTGGGCTGGGTTGTAATGGAATGGACAGTTGTCCTGCAAAGAGAAGACATGGAGCATTTTACAACATTGCCGCAGAAACCAGCTCAAGCCTCAAACCGCAGGCATAATGCATATACTGATTGAGTACCCAGTGTAAAGTGATCACTGCAAGAATTAAGAGCCAGGACATAAGTGAAAAATGCATTCCTGTTGGTTACAAGTCAGTGAGATGTAAATATAATATTTCAGTTCTCAATATGCCCAAAGTAAGTTTTACTATAATTAAGCTGGGACCCTTGAAGAGAATCTGAGGAGCAAAGTGTCATTTGTTTATACATTGTAATTTCTTGCTCAAATCAGAGGGGGGTAAGTTGTGATGAAAAACAAAACTCATTTAGAGATTCTCTTGGCAACATCTTATGTCCTCAAACTACTGAAACACAATGAATAATTTCTAATTATCTTATCAGTTTGGTATATTTTACCCTATAACTCTGTAGTTTCATTGACTCTCAAAGTGTTTCAAGCTGTTGCTGAATAGAAAAGATGAAAAAGGAGTGGAAAACATTTTGTTCTTACCCTATCATCTGGAATTTTATCATTGTCATCATCATCATCACAGGCATCGCCAACTCCATCCTTGTCATAGTCTTCCTGGCCCGAGTTGGGGAGGTTGGGGCAATTATCCTAGGAAAGAGAAGACGCACATTACAGCCACAGTCTGCATGCCCTCTGCTCAGCTCATGCACAAGGGGGTGACACAAATGTTGCAAAAAGAAAAAGAACCGAATGCTGCTCTGCAACAGCATACACTTTTTATGGGAAGACAAAAAAATTAAATGTTTTCTTGGGAGAGAGATATATATAATTTGTACAAATGCTCTAGGCTTTATACATGCGGGAAGACAAGTCACACTCTGCTGGTATTTGGTAGAGCAGTGAACTTTTTTTTGGACAAAACTGACTATGGAACACAGTTGCCAAAAGGGCCTGCCCCTTTCATGTTCTTGGCACCAAGTGATTTAATATTAATGAGAATTAGTGCCTTTGGGTGATTTAATCGTTCAGTTGCATTTTCATACTTTAAGCAATTCCTCAGCCTGTTCCTTTGAAAAGGGTGAGGTGCCTTCTTTCTGGAGGCACACGAGGAAAGCCAGCTGTACCTTTTTGCAGTGGTAAGTTGCATTGGCCACGCACACCAGGTCCTCGTTGGGCCAGCCGTCCAGGTCTGTGTCCTCCTCGCAGATGATGCCATTGCCAGCGTAGCCGGGCTTGCACTCGCAGCGGTACATGGGGTCACTGTAGTGGCCCAGGTAGTTGCAGTTGGCGTTCTTGTTGCAGTCGTGCGTCCCGTCTGTGCAGGGGTTGCGGGGCTTGCACACCTGAGGGTGCAACACCCTGATGTTAACACAGAGCCTTCGAGGGTCCTCAGATACGCGGAAACAAGAAGAACCCAATCCCTGTCATCTGAGTGGACAGAGGCTCCGCAGGGAGGAGTGTGGGTTACCTCGGTCCTGCCCTGTTCTCCCCCTGAGGATGCCCAGTTTACAGGCTAACACTGCTTCATGTCTGTTTTTCCTGAAACTGCTCAGCACCTAGGCATGTACAAGTCCATTGGCTCACAACTAACTGCAGGGCAGCATTTTCAAATGTAATGGACTATTTCTCCCCTGCAGGATTTACCATGGGTTTTCTAGTCATGTTTCTGAAAACTAGATTGTACATTCACCCCCTGCCCTGTTTTTTGTGAAGGGTATAGATGACATTCCTCCCTCTCATGGCTGTAGACTCTGGTTTACTAGTCCGGTCTACTCTACCTGCTTGTTGGCAGCGGCGTGTTCCACGCCCTGGCCGAAGGGCTGCGAGCCAGTGAAGCGCGGCGGGCAAGGCAGGCAGTTGTAGCCGGGGTCTGTGTTCCTACACCTGTGCTCTCCGTTGTGGGTGAAGCAGGCGTCAGGCACTTCTTTGCACTGTGGAGGAGACAACAGTTAGCTTAATGTTTAGCAAACACTGCCACGAGGAAGTGACAGGACAGGTCGGCTGCTTTCCTGGATCTAGTACTGAGCCCTCGGTCCCTCACCTCATCGACATCTTCACACTGGATGCCATTTCCGCTGTAACCAGGGGGACACGCACCACATTTCCAGCTGCCGTCAGGGTAGCTAGTACACTTAGCACCAGCAAAGCAGGGGTTGGACAGGCATCCATCTGAGATGAGAGAGACAGCAAACGGTTGGCCTGAGCTGCTGTTACTGCCATGCTGGTACTTAAAAAACACTACAGTGTACAGTATTGTAGGGTCTGTGTAACTGACAGCTTGTTGAGATTATGTGGTCCGCCTGTAATTTTAGAGTACTCAAACCACTCGGGACCATTTAAACCTGGAACCCCCTTGAATGCTGACCACGGCATTCACTTAAGAAACTCCTGAGGGTGGTCTTGTCCTGGGCTGCAGGACTCACCAATTGGACAGTCCTGCTTGTTGCAGATCTGGTTCTCTGTGACATCACCAACGCAGTCCTTGCCTCCAAACTGGGGTGCGGGGTTGTTGCAGAGCCGGCTACGTTTCTGCACCCCTCCTCCACAGGTGACAGAACAGATGTCCCACGGGGACCAGGGTCCCCAGCCTCCATTGACTGTAGGAAAATGAAGCATATGCAAAAATTAGGGTCAATTTTCAAACATCTTACTGTCACAGAAAACTCTAAGTTTGTTCAAGAAACTTCTGCTACTGGCACGAAAAGAATGTTTGGGAAGAGGGGGAGTTTGAAATGGTTTTCTTTCTGTGTTTCATTAAAGAAGCTGCTGCGCACGCAGGACTTTGCTTCTGTTTGTTTCTCTAGGAAGTAACCTTTCCCCTACGCGACCCACCAAACCGGAGGCAGAAGATGCCAGGCAGCCAGCTGGCCGAGCTGCCGCTCAGGTGCAGCTGCGTTCACACTTACTGGGGCAGGCGTCTTTCTTGCAGGCTTTGGTCTCCCGAGCTTCGCCTTCACAGGGTTTCCCATTCATCTGGGGGCTGGGCGAGTTGCAGAGCCGGATCCTTGTGATCACACCATCACCACACGTCACAGAGCAAGAGGACCACGGGGACCAGTGGCTCCAGCCGCCATCCTGTTTAACTGAAGTACAGAGCTGATGGTTATCAGGTGTTTACCATGAGCCAAGCGTCGTGCTAACTGCTTTAAATGCATTATATAAATAAAATTCTCAAAATAACCCTATCAAGAACTATTATTATCCCTAATTTGTAGATGAGGAAAGAGCCTCAGAGAGGCTAAGTTGTGCTCAAGGTTGCACAGATAAGTAGGAGAATTGGGGTTCAGATCCGGAGATACTAGAACCTGTGCTCTTAACCTCTGTGCTATGGAGCTGCTCTTGCTGATGACAAGGTCACTTCTCCACATTCCTAAGTGGCCAAGATGCTCACATCTCTTATCACACTCCTGAATGTGGCAGGTCCGCGTCTGGACGGAGGATCCCTCGCATCGGTTGTTGAGGCTATCACAGGAGCGGCCACGCTGCTGGATTCCATTGCCACATGTCACGGAGCAGGAGGTCCACTCAGACCATGGGGACCAGCCATCGTCTGCAGAGTCGCTGGCTGCAGGGGAAATGGGCTCATTTAGTGCATGATCATTAAGACAAGCTATTCTTTAGACTGCTCTGGACTGGTTCAGACTAAAAACTGCTTTAGACTGTTCAAGACTTTCTTCTCTTGCCAGAGGGTGAAAATCAATATATTTCTTAGGCCAGCAGCCAAGCGGTTTATCCCAGGTCATTATTGTACAGTACTGGGGCAATGGAATGCTTTGCCGGGGTCAGTACAACTGTGCCTTCTCCCAGTGTGTGTGCTCCTCATTGTTGCCTCCTTTCTCCTCTCTCAGCCTTTCAGATGAATTTCCCTTTCCCGAGTTAGATATCTGGATAGACATTTCCAGTCACTTCTGACTTTCAGGGGAGCCACAGACCATGTGTCTGGCAGATGAGCTCGAAGGCAGCTCAGCTGCTGTTGGCTTTGGCTCCAGCTCTGTCATGAGGGTGATCAGTGTGCTGCTCTCTCACCCTAGCATGTGGGGCCTTCTCTGCATGCATTTTCACAAGAGGAGGACGTGTTTGTTTACCATCTGCCCAGGCACCATGACTACAATATCACATCTAGCTGTAGCAGACACAAGACAGAGAACCTGTTTTCTCTTGCCATCAGTTGGAAGTTCTCATAGCAAACCCTGATTCAAGTTCAAAACTTCACTAGTCTCCAGCTACTTTGTTCCCTTTAACCCACATGTCAGGTGAGTGCTGAACAGAAACAGATATACAGATGGTTATTACCGTGCCAACACTGCTAACATGATCCCTGGATGGGACTCGTTATTCTGAGCTGTGTGTGTGTGTCCGTATGTGTGTGAAGGGCAAGTGCTACTTTCCTGTTTTATTCCTGATCTTAGTTGTGATGAGTCATTTTTATGACTTGTACCTACTACATTCAAAGTAATTAACTTATACTGGCAGCAAAAACCAGGGATAGTGTGCCAAACAATATTGTGCCTTATTTCTTTTAATGCCCTGAAACTCAAACTGCTGATGTTCTTAGGCCTCTTGTTCTTTCAGATAAAATGGGTAGAACTTTCAGGCCCAATGAAGTCCAATGCTCACACTATAGCCCATCAATTTCTCTGGTGAGATTTTAACTCTGGGCCATGAGGTCAAATTCTAAAAGCAGTCAACTTAGAGCTGTTGCTGCTACATATTCATCTCTCCTTAACTCAACGCATAAAAACAGAATCAGTAAGCTATACCAAGATCATTACTGCCTATACTGTAATCCAGAAGGGTAATTAAGATTTAGTCATAATGGAATTTTGGGCTCTATACAGCAGATAAGCCACCAGTTAACCAGATGCTGCAGCAAGAAACTGAATGAAGACATGATGGAGATGAGGGTGGGGTTCCAGTGTTGTGTTCAGCTGTCCAGTGTTTATGTAGAACTGACCTAGTCACTGAAGAATGGTTATGCAGTTTTAGGAACTTACGCCAACACCGTGGGCAGCATTCTCCATCAGGAACTGTGGCATTGGAGCAGGGCATGATGGGGCAGGACACTTTTTTGCAGATAGTGACTGAGTTCTGCAGGGCAAGAGTGAGGGAGAAATGGGTTACTGAGCATACTGCAAGCAGAAGTTGACATACTATAACGTTTCAATTCCAAGGTGACACATGGTCAGGGCTGTAGAGGCTCCAGTAGAAGATCTGTCTCTGTTGTATTTGCAGTCACCAGTATTGCCGAGACAGTGCTAGTGCTAGGTACTTGCCACTCCATTCCTTGGAGAGTTCTTGCTTAATTGGTGCTAAGTCAACAGTGGAAGTTATGGCATGAAGAATTTATCTAGAGGGAACTTAATCAACATCTGAAATTGAACTCAAAACTCAGCCAGGACTTTTTCAGTTTTATCTTTATGTGGAAAAGAAGATCAATGAGCATTTTTTCCCTCATGTATAGATCTGGCTTTATACTATATTGGAGAAGGATGGGAATTTGATGAAGTTGGCTCCCAAATCCAGCAATCCATGATTTGTATTTAAGCTGGACTTTGTTCAATGAGCCAGGTAAATTCTCAAACTCACCTGCCCCGGGCGTTGGGGAGGGCTAGTGTGACACGCGCACGCTGTGGCAGTGCCATCTGAGCTAAGGAGACAGTTACAGCCTGACAATGTCAGGCTCAGTGATTTGAACAACAATCAGTACTGTATTAGCATCTCTGTGTCACAGGTGAATACAAATTAGGGCTGGGGGAAAACAAAAGGAATGTTCCAGGTTTTATTCCTGACATTCAGCACTTAGCCTTTGAACTAAAGCAAGTAAATTATTCAGATGTTTTAGTATATTTGTTCTTTTAGATACCTAGCCTGAGGTATAATTAAACATTTGAAAAACTTTCTGAGAGTTTGACGAAGATTTTATAGATGTTATAATTGCATCTTAAAAAAACCACTTGGGTATCAGGCCATGGAACATAAAAAGAGCTTGTGTGGCCATCTGAGTATTTCCTTGGAGACTGTGGCTTCAAACACACGCCATCAATTCATATTTCAGCTAGTAAAGACCCCTTACCTGACAGCGACACTCAGTGCAGCTATCAACAGTCCATTCCTCGTTATTCCTGTACTGAACTCCATTGTGGTAGCAGAGGGGAGGCCTCCTCAGCTCATTGGCCAGCTCTTTGTTCTCTTCAGTCTAAATGGGGGAGAAAGGTCATTAGTGTCCAAACTCATTTTCAGTCATTCGGGATCATCTGTGATTCCTTCAGGGGCTCATGCCAAAGGGCTGGGAGCGGGGGCCACTGACCACTTTGCGGATGCTGTCCTGAAGCGTGGTCACGATGGTACGCAGGCCCCTGAGCTCCAGGACCATGTTGGACAGCTCGTCACAAGAGATGCCGCAGATGGCTTGCAGATCCTTTGTCTTGTGGCCAATGTAGTTAGTGCGGATGGCAGGGCTGGAACCATTCACCACATTGTTGTCGAGGGTGAGAAGGACATTGGCAGCTGCCAAATAAAGAAACACAATGAGAAAAGTGATGGAATATCTTCAAAGAGATGCTCTCCCCAGCCTGCCCCTCGAGTTCCCAAAAGATTTCATTTGGGGCAAGAGATGCAAGTGGGGAGGGAGGGGCAAGTAGGGAGGGGAGAGGGGGAGGGGGGGAGAGAGAGAGAGGGTAATACCCTTTGAGGTCACTTTTGTACACCTCTTAACTATGTTCCTTGGGGTAATTTATACACAACCTCCGTTGCTTAAATTTCTCAGCTTGTTTTGGGTGCAATTCCCCCTGATTTCCCTATAGTCCCTAAAAATAGCAGAATACTCACAGCTGGAGCAGCCTTTGTTCCTGAGGATGTCCTCTGGTGTGGTTCCGAAGACAAACCTCACGTTCTGCAGCACCCCCTGTGGGCAGAGGACACACATTACTTGTAGAGTGTGTGTGTGTGTGTGGGGGGGCGGTGTGAATGGGTGGGGGAGACTGTTTATGTTAGGAAAAGCACACAACAGATGTTCCACAAGTTTGAAAGAGCTCCCTTTAAGATCACCAAGTCAAAATAATACACCAGGATAAATTGCCAAACAACTTTAAAATCTTAACTGTGTCTTCTGCCAAGTCTTCAGTATTTCACAAAGAACTCAGTTATCAGCCTACTGAGAACAGAGGAAATGGAATCTGACACTAAGGCCGGAGGATTTGATGACAAAGAGTTAAATGTGGGAGTTTCAAAGCCACAGTTGCAAAGAGCTAGAAGTGTAAGCAGGGAAAAAGCTGCAGCAGTGAGTATTCACTATTTTAACCTTTTGAAACCCACCACATCCCCGTGAGGAATCAAATAGCAAAATGGTATTTATTCTGCTCATGCAAAGTATCCATCCATGTCAAGCAATATTACAGTTGGTGGAATGCATTTGAAATAAGTTATTTTCCTAAGAAGAGGATAGAGAGTATCTAAAGCTGGAACAGGCTGTTATAGGAAAACTATTGTTTCCTTTGGTGGTTTTCAAAGTGTGGTCCCCAGAAAACCAGCACCAGCCTCACCTGGAACTTGTTAGAAATGCAAATTATCAGGCCCCACCCCAGACCTACTGAATCGGAAACTTGGTGTGTGTGTATGTGCAGCAGTATGCGGTTTAAGAAGCCCTCGAGGTGATTCTGGTGCTCTCTAAAGTTTGAGAACCACCGCTTTAGTCCACAGGCAGTATTTCCTGTACTGGAACCCCTGCCTCTCCTGCTATAGCCCTCCTGACAGATCAGCTGGCTAGCAGTGACCCCATGGACTAGGAATCGGAGGAGGGGACCTCACCTGGAAATTGTCATTGACACCTCCTTTTGCGATGCGGAGTCTGGCGATGCTAGCCAGGTCCCTGGTGAAGATGCTTTGGATGGGGACGTCCAGCTCAGCATTCTCCATCTTCTCACAGTCGATGTACAGCTGGGCCCTGTCCTCCTGCACAAACAGGGTGATGCTCTTCCACTGGCCAGTCGCCAGGAGCGCTTCTTCCACGGACACCACATGCTGCTTGCCCTGCACGGTCAGGCTAAGGTCAAGGGTGCCCGCCTTGCCATTGGAGACCACGCTGAAGATCTGGCCAGAGTGGTCTTTCCGCTCCACGGCCAGCAGTGTGCCCCGAGTCTTCTTCATCTGCCTCAGGGAGGCCAGCAGGAGGAAACCTTTCTCGGCCCGCACAGCATCCACTAGGTCTTGGAACTTGTCATCAGGCACAGGGGGGATCAGGTTGGCATCCTCGATGCGGAAAGCTGGGCTGGAAGGGTCAGGACCCTTCACCAGTCGGCGCCCAGAGCCCTTGCGGGCAGCGCCCGTGAGTTCAAAGATGTCGAACACGCTGTTGTCTCCTCCAGACTCTGTTACACAGGAGCAAGACAGGCAGTGAGCCTTCTAGGCTGGGGCCAGAGGGGAGGGGCTCAGCTCTGAGGGGTGGGGTCAGAGGGACAGGGTGAAAATGGCAATCACTGAAAGAGCTGAATAAACACCACAGTCGCAGGGAACCTGCATCTTGATGTTGAATCAGGGCTCGGGGAGAAACAGCTGGGAGAGGAGAGCATGGGAGGGAGACACAGCTGGGGTAACCAGCAACTCCTCCTCTTCCTTCTCCCCCAAAAGGTATTATACAGACTCACCTGGAATGTGGTTGGAGCCACACACATGTAACAGGAACAGGACACTGAGTGCCCAGGGCAGCCCCATGGTGGAGCTGTTTGTGCCCAGCAGGGATCCTGCAGCAGGAAGCACAGAGCCCAGGGTCAGAGGCAGCCAAGCAAGGAGGGTGGGCAAAAACTGGGGAGTGGGCTTGGGACCAGGGCTCTGGGGATCCCGCTTTGGTCCCACATTTGCTGGGATAAGGGATGAGGCAGATGAAGAAGACTCGGGGCACACTGCTGGCCGTGGAGCGGAAAGATAAGGGGACAACAGTATTTACTTTGGAGAGAGCATCCGAAAGAAAATGGGCGAGTTGAGGGGAGGAGATTGCGGTTTTAAAGTGGGGGGACCGCAAAGACCAGCAGCCTAAGGGCTTTTCCTGGGGAAGTCGAGGACCAGGAGATGTGGGTGGGGGCGCAGGGAGGGCACGGGGAAGTAGCGACTCTTCTGGAGGACTGATAGGAAGGTTTAGGGAGGATTTGGAGAATAGAAGAAAATCTTGGGGTGTCCTGAGAGTTGGTTTGTTAACTCCAAGGCTGGAGAGGATGGCTCTGGAGCCCTTCCACGAAAAGAGTGCTCCAGTGTCTGGGAGGGACAGGATGGGGAAGGTAAAAAGTATGAGATCCGGGGCCCCTGGCGGGCTGAAGCCTCGGAGCCCGAGGTAGGTGGCCAGGGGCAGCACTGGTCCTCGGCAAGCGCCCAGAGACCCCTTACCTGTGTGCACACAAGTCAGCGGCCGGGAGTGGCGGCGAGGGCGCAGCGGCGGGCGCCGAGTCCGGGAGAGCGCAGGGAGGGCGGTGCGCCCGGGCAGCAGCGACCGGAGTCGGAGGCTGCGGGGTGAGCTCACGGGAGACCACACTTGCCGGCCGGCTCGGGTGCTGTGGCTGGCGAGGCGGAGGAGCCGCGCGCTTTTAAAGGGCCGCTCACATTCCTGGAGATTCCTCTGGCCAATGGGAGGCGGCCGGGCAGGAAGCGGGAGGGGGGCCAGTCTGGGTTCCTCTCTCCGCCCCCCGCTGCCTGGCGCACAACTTTCCAGCTAGAAAGTGAAGGGGGGCCGGTCGGGGTCGGGGCCCAGGAGCCCTGGAACTTCTCAGAAAAATAGGTGCCCGCCCACGCAGCCGTGGCGCACGCGGGCTCAGTACTTTGGCTCTTGCGCCACGCGGTCCCGAGGCGGTCGGTGTGAGCATCCCAAGCAGCAGCGGAGCTTTGGCCAGCCACCCAAGACCCTGAGAGGGCCTTTCAGGCAAACCCGTCTCCTTGAATGCCTAGAGGATGGCTGAGGGGTGGATACTTGGAGACCAAGTCCTTTGGTGAAAAACAAATGAGCCCGCCGGGGTAATTGGGACCAAGAGAGAACCAGTCGTTAAAGAAGGTCCCTCTTCATACTCGTTGACCCTCATCCATCCGTCCCTCCGGGTGGGGGACCACGCGCCCGGCTTCGCGCCGCGCACCCGCCCTCGCCCCACGCCTGCCCTCCGCCTGACCCACTGAGGGAGGCAAGTGCGGTGTCGTGCCGGCCCGCAGGGCGGGGGACAGAGCTCGCGTCCCCGCAGCCCGTCGGGGCACTTTTCTGTGGCTGCCTGTCTCCCAGGTCTCCACGAAGACCGCTGCTCCCAATGGCTACCGCGCTTCCACGGCTTGCCGCTTGGGGGCGGTATGCGTATTCTGATCAAGGGGACGAGAGAGGACAGCTTCTTTCTAGTCAGGAATGTTAAGAAAACTTACTCGTATCCAGTTCCCTCAAGCCAAAATTGACATTGTGTCTTGAAAAACAGTTTTTGTGCCCACTCGTGCTTCTTAACGTGACTCCTGGTTGGAGAATTTGCAGAACCATCTGGCTCCAGGGTCTTAAACTATTTACAGAACAGACCCATAGAGTAATAAATTACCCTCTGCCTATCATTTTATTTCCTTTTTTTTCCCTCCCTAAACGTTCTTTTCATTTTTCGGCTCCTGAAACCGAGGTGTGGGTTACATTTCTGTGGGTGCACCAGTTGCCACGAGCGCTGCCGCTTAATGCTTCTGTCATTGGAAATCTGGTCTCCAAGCCACTGTCCCAAGCCAGCATGACTCCAGCTGCCTGGAATTCCATTCATCTCTTTGGGCTGAGACGTCAGCAGCCACACTTCCCCTGCTGTGGTCCCGCACGATCAGGCTGGCCCTGAGACACAGGGCGCAGGTAGCGGCTTCACCAAATAAGGATGTCAGCCACAGGCCAGGGGAAAGCCCTGGGGTTCACCTGCCTTCTTAGCTCTCCCACCTGGCAGGGCTCCTAACTGCGGGAAACACCCACCGTTTTACATTCATTACACAGCAATTTCACTTTTCTTGTGTGGGAGTGTCGTGTGACAAAGTGCATGTGTGTGTGTGTGGATTCCGGGTGAGTGTTTTCTAGTTGCTTCATATACGTCAAATACCTCTAGAAGACGACAAGTATGTTCCTAAGACACATGTGTGTTTGTTGCTTAAGTAATAGCTAAACCTGACAGATAGATTTCACATGTTGAGAGACAGAAATAAATGTCTCTATCGGATGAGTAGTCAAATCAGATTCCTGTCGTGGAACTCATAGGAATGATTCATCCAAACAGATCTGAAGATTCCAGAATCAGCAGCCACGCATGTCCCTCCCCTTCCTTCTCCTTCTCTAGCATCCTGTTTGCTCCCTTGAACGGTGATTTTTTTTTCGCTTGCTACTAGTAATGCCAGTTACTTAGGTACAGTTTTCAGAGTGGTGGTCACCTGATGGCCCTGCTCCTCTGGCCCACTTGTTGATTTTATACAGATCCGCTGAGGGCTCGAGGTCCACACGAGACCCACAAAAGCAGGATACGTCTCTCCTTTTATAGAAAGATCATCTTGCCTAGGCTTAGCCATATGGATAGAGTAGAATCCCACTGGAATGCCCCTCCAGGCTTGCCGCTTCCTGACCAAGGGACTGTAGGAATCCCTTTAGAGTTTCCTTGGAAATTGGCTTCTTTCAACGAAAAAAAGGGGAATTTTAACTTTCTACATGCTTTACAAATAGGAAGGTGACCTATATGGTGGCAGGGAAGAGCTTTCCTGTCAGAAAGCTGACAGAGGTACAGAAGTTATTGACTTCAAACACAAAGGCCTTCCCCAAACCCCGGTAATCCAGTTGTTCTGGTAGAAAGGAAGGATCACAGTGAGGACGTGTCCCGGCAGCTGTTAGGAATCATCCATATTCCTGCCGAGCATCAATATATGCTTAAAATATTCCCTAGAAACCTAAATACCTCTGGGAAGCTTTGAGAAAAGCAGGGATGGGAAAAGGGGAAAGAAAACCTACACCTTTCATGCAGGGGATAGAGTCCTTCTTGTATGTGTGTGTCCTCAACCTACAAGAGCTGAGATTTCAGGCCGGTCATCTGACATGGACCCAAGTGATGGGCCTTCCAGGGAGCGGGTCCAGTTCTCTCTTTGCCACGTTGACACCTTTGAGATTATGTATTTAAAATAAAATTTTAAGGCATATGGCATTTCGCTGTAGGATTTCCTTTTTCCAAGTTCCCTTAATTGGATGTGGGATTGAGCTAAAAACTTTGCCAATAAATAGGAGGAAAGGACTGTCAGCAACAGCCAGTTTAAAAATGGAATGTGATTAAGGAGAGCAAGATAATGGAGAAAAAAAATTTGTTTATCCAGCAAAAAACAGCAAGGTGGGCTGTGATTTTCTGTAGCAATTTTAAAAAATGTTGGATATGTTTAGCAGTGGAAAATTTCTTAGAAGTGAGCAGAAACCGAAATTCATCGTGTTCTAGAATAGTCCCAAATCGTAGTATCTCTAAAAGGACGACATCATAATTTCATTCCCTCTGAATATTTTCCCTAGATGGTGGTTCAAAGTTGTTTTAGTTTAGCTACCTCGACGGTCAGAGCCAAAGGGAGTTCCTGACAGATTTTTCTTATCCTTCAGTCAGATACCAACTCAAGCTCCCCCTCCTCCATGAGATGTTCTCCAGTGGCTTTATGTTGCCTTGTTTCTTCTTTCTGTGAAATTTTGAAGCACGCGTTATCTCCACCACATAATTCATCATCTTATACTTTTTACTAGTTAGTTTTTCAAAATCAGTTTTATTTTCTCATGTGTAAGGACTAGATTGTACGTACCCAAAGGCTTGGGCCTGGGAAGAGCTCTAATATTTGAATTTCCAAATCGCTTTATGCTTAAGTCAGTTTTTAGCATAGAGGGACTAGACTACTCACCATTTCCCTACCAGCGCTGCCATCTCATGCAGTTATGCCTTAGCTCTTGGGGTAGACGAGGTGATTGCCTCCCAAACATTGCACCCTTCCCCACGGAATTGAAGCAATATTCTCAGGGAATTGATCTTAGTGGGGAGGGGTAGGACTATTGGTTTAAGGGTAGCTATCTTCTCCACCTGCCACCCTCCCTTCCCTGCTAGTAATTGATTTGTGAATTACCATGTGACCCAATTCTGGCCAGTGAGAGGTTTGCTGAAAGCTGCTGGGAAAAGTTCTTTCTTGCTTTTAAGAAAGAGTCATGTGAAATCAGACTTTCTCCATCTTCATCTGGACATGAACAAGAATGCTGCTAAGCGCTGTCTGGTGCTGTTGGCCACTAGGGGAACCAAACTTAGCATGAGAGCAGTGTTGGAGAAGGAAGAGCAGAGAGTGGAAAGAACCATCTTCCATGGTATGTTAACCACATTTTTGAGCAGCTAAATCCACCAACCCTAAAGGCCATTGTACCTCTGGATTTCTTTGGACATGTGCTTATTATTTAAGCCAATTTATTGTTTTCTGTTACTTAGAGCCACAAACATCATAACCAATGCAGCTCTTTTTTCTCTGTCTGGATTGCCTTTCACTCAGACTTTGCTTGAGCCTCTTCTGATTTATTTAGGATAAGAAACATAAGAATAGGTCATGGGATAAAAATGTTTTAAAGACTCTTCACTTACATGATTAAAGTGCTTTCCAGATAAGTTGCCCTGTTCTCTCTCCTCCCTGTTCCTTTGCCCACTGGCCACTCCAGTCCCAAACACTATTTACTGCTGATGGGTAAGAGTGAGCATTGCTTCCTACTTTACTGTGTCTTTATATCCATCTCTTGGGAACTTTGAGATATAGTCCAGTGAGTTCACAAAAGAAAGAATATCCAGGATGAGATGATCCTGAGTGAAGGAGCTGGGAAATCCACTTGCTAGGAAATTGAGGCTGTGGGGGCAAGAAGATGGAAAAAGGAGATGGTGAGATCTCAACCTGGCCTAGAGTGGAAGTGGGGAAAACTAGCCAGAAAGGGAAGTGAGGACATGGAAACAGCCTCTTAATATGCAGTAATGATAAACCCCTGAATGCCATCCTTGATGAAAGACCCGGTGCTACCCTGGCTGAGGAGGACGGCTTACTCAAGGTTGATGATGAAAAGCCCTGTGACTGGGAGCTGCCTCTCTGATTCCCCTTTCATCACTTTTTTCTCTAGTCAACTTTTTATTTTTTCAGCTTTATTGAGGTATAATTGACAAATAAAATTGTAAGTTATTTGAAGTGTAGAATGCGATTAGTTGATATACATATACGTTGTGACAGGATTCCCACCATGGAGTTAACACATCCATCACCTCACGTAATTATCTTTTTTTTTTCTTTTTTTTTAGTGAGAACATTTTAGTTCTACTCTCTTAGCAAATTTCAGTTTTACAATATGGTATTATCAACCATAGTCACCGTCTCTATTCAACTTTTATGCTTTATCATCTCATGCCCTTCTGGGCCATCAAGTATGGGCTGGTTTGGGTTTCAGTGTAGAAGTCTTTTCAAGTGTTTGTCACCTCACAAGAAGGCCACATATCCAAAGGCAGCCTCACAAATAAGGGGAGGGAGCTGGGAAATCATC